CCTTTACGAAAAGCAATAGGTAAAGAGTCGAAATTACCTGATGTACCAAGATCAGAAGGCGGCAAGAAAGACGATACGGACACCTCAGTCGATAGGCAAGGACGGCGAGAGTAAACACGAAGAGGTAAAGTAGATGGTAACATAGTGGGCAGCAGAATGTTTGAAGACGAGGAAAGAGACGGTGGTACAGGAGATGATTCAAAATCCAGATCCAAAGGCTGAGAAGGTGCTGAAAAGTATGGAATAGATTCTTCAAACGTGACATCAGCACTAGTAAAGTATCGGTGCAGAGAAGGACTGTAGCAATGATACCCCTTCTGCGTGCGGGAGTAACCAAAAATACACATTTGGTAGCTCGAGGGTCAAGTTTATCAAACCCAGGACCCAAATTGTGAACATAACTGACACATTCAAAAATCTTAGGACTAAGGGAAAATAAGGACTTATTAGGAAAAAAGACAGAATATGGACTTTGCTCGTTTAACATAAAAGAGGGCATACGATTAATAAGATGNCGGAATATGGACTTTGCCCATTTAACACAAAAGAGGGCATACGATTAATAAGATGACAAGCAGTAAGAACAGTATCACTCCAAAAATATCAGGGAATATTTATCTGGAATAACAGGGCACGGGTGACTTCCAACAAATGATAGTTTTTGCGTTCAGCAACACCATTTTATGGAGAGGTGTAAGCACAAGAAGTCTGATGAATNCACTTTCTCAGGGATTGATGTTTCTTATAGTTTGCCGGACAACATTGCTATTATAACTCTTCAGGTATTTGGAGTTTTCTCCTTTTGAAAGGCAATGCTATCTAAAGTTCCATTACTTTTCTATTTTGGCAAGCAATAAGAAACGGTTTACTCTTAAGTTTTGAATCTGCTATGTTACAGATTTTAAAGCAATAACAATTCATGTTTCATGGGCTGGCTGATATTCTTTTGGTTCTTTTCTTCTTGCTTGTTAAATAAACTCTCTTTTNTACCAGTGTTACTCAGATAAGCTGAAAAAGGATCAAATTTATATTCCTGAGCATTATTAGAATGTAAAGTACGTATACGAAAACCAAACTGAGTTTTTATTTTCTTTCGAAAAATCTCAAATATAGAGAATAATTTAGATCGAGCTTTCATAAAAAATAACCAAGTCACACGAGAATAGTCATCCACAAATGTCACAAAATAAGGATTTATTAGATGAAATATTCTTTATTGGACCCCATACATCAGAATAGACTAATTCAAATGAACTAGACACAAGATTATTGACTGTAGACTGAAATGACACACGGTGATGCTTACTAAGTTAACAAGCAGGACAAAGACGACACAAAACTAAGATAGGGAACTTGACGCTTCAAATTCTGGAGAGAGGGATGTCCTAGACGACAATGTCATTGAAAAGGAGACCACGAGGTCTCTAGAGCTTGGGTAGGTGAATCAAAGTCAAGGTAATATAGGCTATCAGCTTCATGCCCGTACCAATCTTCCTCTTCGTCTTGAGATCCTGAAAGACACAATAAGAGGGTTAAAAGGTTACAGAACAATTGAGAGAACGAGTAATCTTGCTAATGGAAAGTAAACTAAAAGGAAACTGAGGAACAAATACCACGGAAGATAGGGACATATCAAGACTTAAGTGAGTAGTCCCCAGACTTGAAACTTTAGAACAAGTACCATTAGTAAGAGTAACACTACGTGTGAAAGTAGCAGACTGATAAGTGGAAAAAGCATCAGACGCACCAGTCATGTGGTCAGAGGCGCCAGAGTCTATCTAAGGACTGCGAGTGGAGGACAATAAACAAGTGGAAGCAATATCTGACTAGGCAAAAGTAGCAGTGGAAGGAGATGGAACAGGTTGTTGCTGGGACAAGAACTGAGCATACTCTTCTCGTGTAATAGTAACCGACCCAGTATCTAGTAGAGCTGACCGAGGTATGGAAGCTGCAACAGAGGTTTCATCCTGAATAGAAACCTGATTGGCAGTACCAGAAGGTTTTTCATGTAAATTCCAACAGAAATTCACAGTGTGCCCTCCACGACCACAGTGAGTACAGGAACGTGGTCCACTACGGCCTCCACGACCACTCGTACGACCTCCTCGATCACCACGATCACCATGACCACTACGACCACCTCGATGACCATCACAATGACTGCTAGGAACCATAAGAGTTGAGCGATCAGTGAAAACACCATGATTGATACCTGAAGTAGACAAAGTAGCACGCTGTGTACGAGAGAAAACCTCAAGTAGTGAGGGAAGAGTAGAACCACCCAAAATCTGAGAACGAATACCCTCATATTCAGGTTTCAAACCTATCAAAAACCTAACAACATTCATGTCCTCATGTTGTTTTTGTCAAACTGCTGCATCAGTAGTAAATAGATGGTAGGTCACAGACTCCTCAAACGTGAGAGTAATAATCTTCAATGCTCAGATTACTCTGTTCTAGCCGGAAATACTCCTTGCATACCTCATAAGCTCGGGTAAAATTGCTCGTACTAAAATACATAGTAGCCAAGTGATCCCATATCTCCTTGGCAGTGTCAAGGTAGAGCAAAGTAGAACTAATACTAGGTTTAATGTTATTCAGTAGTAAAGAAATAATTTGAGCATCCTCTTGTTCCCACTGATCATACCCAGGAGTGTCTTCCTTAGGTTTNACCACGGAAGATAGGGACATATCAAGACTTAAGTGAGTAGTCCCCAGACTTGAAACTTTAGAACAAGTACCATTAGTAAGAGTAACACTACGTGTGAAAGTAGCAGACTGATAAGTGGAAAAAGCATCAGACGCACCAGTCATGTGGTCAGAGGCGCCAGAGTCTATCTAAGGACTGCGAGTGGAGGACAATAAACAAGTGGAAGCAATATCTGACTAGGCAAAAGTAGCAGTGGAAGGAGATGGAACAGGTTGTTGCTGGGACAAGAACTGAGCATACTCTTCTCGTGTAATAGTAACCGACCCAGTATCTAGTAGAGCTGACCGAGGTATGGAAGCTGCAACAGAGGTTTCATCCTGAATAGAAACCTGATTGGCAGTACCAGAAGGTTTTTCATGTAAATTCCAACAGAAATTCACAGTGTGCCCTCCACGACCACAGTGAGTACAGGAACGTGGTCCACTACGGCCTCCACGACCACTCGTACGACCTCCTCGATCACCACGATCACCATGACCACTACGACCACCTCGATGACCATCACAATGACTGCTAGGAACCATAAGAGTTGAGCGATCAGTGAAAACACCATGATTGATACCTGAAGTAGACAAAGTAGCACGCTGTATACGAGAGAAAACCTCAAGTAGTGAGGGAAGAGTAGAACCACCCAAAATCTGAGAACGAATACCCTCATATTCAGGTTTCAAACCTATCAAAAACCTAACAACATTCATGTCCTCATGTTGTTTTTGTCAAACTGCTGCATCAGTAGTAAATAGATGGTAGGTCACAGACTCCTCAAACGTGAGAGTAATAATCTTCAATGCTCAGATTACTCTGTTCTAGCCGGAAATACTCCTTGCATACCTCATAAGCTCGGGTAAAATTGCTCGTACTAAAATACATAGTAGCCAAGTGATCCCATATCTCCTTGGCAGTGTCAAGGTAGAGCAAAGTAGAACTAATACTAGGTTTAATGTTATTCAGTAGTAAAGAAATAATTTGAGCATCCTCTTGTTCCCACTGATCATACCCAGGAGTGTCTTCCTTAGGTTTAGGATTCACCAAATATTTCTTAAGTCCTTTGCCTTGAAGAAAGATTTGAACAGATCGAGACCATAAAGTGTAATTAGTCCCATTGAATTTGACAGAGGTTATGAGACCATTAATAAGAGTCGGAGAAGACAAAGATGGAGTAAGGGACCTGGTATCTTGCTTGGGTTCCATAATAGTGCAACAAATAGCAAACAAGAAATGAACCGGACTGCTAGAGTGCTAAACCAGAGGAAAAAGGGAATGCTGGACTGAAGAACCGGGCTGAACCGGTGTAGAAAATAGGTGAATTGGATTGAACCGATGTAAAAAATGGGTGAATCGGACTGCAGAAGTCTTCTGGACCGCTGAACCGGACTGTAGAACCACACTGAACCAATGAACCGGAGCAGTAACTGAACTGGACCACTAGACCAGAGCTAAAGACTGAAGAATCGGTCTGAACCGGGATGAAATTACCTAAACCAATTGAGTTTAGATCAAACCAGGGTTGAATCGGGTCTGAGCCGGACTTGCACCGGTCTGGTCTAAACCAGACTTGATCCGAACGAAGTCTCCTAGGTCTAGGATCTGGATCCGGGTCTGGGTCTAGATCTGGATCTCTTGCTGATCTGGGCTTAAGGAGAGGTACTGCACCCGAAACCCGTTACCCAAAACCCGAAACCTCACTGGGTCTTCTTCTTCTTCACTGAGTTAGGGTTTCAACAGAAAACCCTAATTCTGCACCAAGGTCGGCTATGCACTAAGGTCGGCTATACTAGCGCCGACTGCTCAACCACAACTCACACACCAGTTACAGCACCACCACAAAGCACAAGGCACAACACCACCACGAAGCATGGCGTAGCACCACCACGAAGCAAGGCACCACCACAGTCGACTGTACCAACGTTGACCACCACGACAGCAATAGTATCCACCACAATCGACTGTACCAACGTCGACCACCACGATGGGTTCAACAAATAGTACTACCCAAAATTTATTCAGAACATACATATATGTTTATGATCTTAATGGCTCTGATACTATGTTAAGTTTAGAAGATTAACACAGTTTTAGAGAGAAATAGAGAGGGGTTAAAAACTTAACCTACTTCTCATACATCACTTGCATTTATAGTTAACCTATAATAATAAGAATTACACATACACCCTCTTACTATTAACTATTTACATATACTACCCTATTATTCTTAACAAAGACAAACGTGGTTGTTTCCTCCTTTAACGTGTGGCTATGCTTTTGAAATAGCCTAAGACTGATTTTCAAGATGTGGATTTCTTTTTTGGTAGACTGGTGGTGGAGCTCAACCAATATCACAAAAAAATAGTGCTGCACTGGATTCAGAGTTGGGGGGTTTTTTTTTTGTTGTTTGGGGAGGGGGGGGGTGGCTTCCCAATTTTTTCCTTTTCCATTTGTTGAACTCAACAAAACCTAATTTCTTACCGGAAAGATGTTCCTTCATACTTCAGTTGCTTTATTTGTTCAAAGCTGTTCCTTCATTCTTCAGTTGCTTTATTTTTTGAAATATGCAAAGATTGAAGAGGACAAAGATCTTTCTGCAATGACAAACGTGGAACTGAAAAGGCCGTTCCCAGGCAAGAAGGCAGAAACAATGAATTCATGACCTACCTAAAAAATCTCAGCAAAATATAATATGGTTCTATCGTTTGATGTTCTCCTATCTTATATTAGATCCTCGGAGTGACCGAGATGAGCTTATCTACCAATCAAGAAAGGTCAGTGACAGTGATGGAGAAAAAGAGATTGGTGTGGAAAGTAGAAGGCTCTTCTGGAGAATCCAAGGTGGTTAGGGGAGGAGCTGTTGATCCTGTAGAGCTGCTAGTGGAACTTGCTCCCATGGAGATCCGCATTTTTGTCGTTGACTTATTGTCTCACCCATGGTGTTTGATGCCTGAAAGATTGGGGCATTCGGCATTGGACGAGGATCATAGCAAATTTTGAGAAGTCATCATGCCGCTGGATAATTGTATTTGAAGCATTCTGTGTAGTTCAATGAATAACCTCCTGGTTATAAATTCTCCTGCCTTGCATCGTGTTTTGTGCAAAACAAATTACCTTGTATAATAATAATTTCATTATTTCCTATTCGTTTCTTGATAGATAGATGAGCTTGGTAGAATGGAATTAAGATTTTGTATCCGAAATTGTAGACAATATTTTGACAATTTGAATTGATCTTCCTCCAATTTCATTTCCAATCTCATTCAGATATGCTGTTGAATCTAACTAACAGGAACACTGCGAGGGCGTTGACTATTATGAGGAGGATGGTAACAGACCAGTTCACTAGTTTTACAAGTTTGGTGTACTAAAGTAGAATTGCTTTCAATTATGAGGAAATGGAATACTAATAAATGGCACCAGAGATTCTTAATTGCAGCAGCCTCTCCTATAGTTTTGAGCCTCTTGTACAATTTTTAATATTCAGTTTTCAGTATTATCAAATACCATCTTAATCAAAAATTTAATTCAATACAATTATTGGATTACTAGAATTTTAGTGTTAGATGGAGATTACCTTTAATCCAATGGGTATATTATATTAGATTTTCAAATTAAGTGTAAATAACATTTTCCTATTTAATGATGTGAAAAATCATGAAGAGATGTTGAACTCGCCATTTAATAGGCTTCAAACCCAAAAAAAAAAAAAAGAAAGAAAGAAAGAAAAAAGAAAAGACAAGTCTCGACTGCCAAAAATATGGGATCAAAATTGGTAAACAAATGATGTATCATTTGTATGATTTTGTTCCTACTTGTATTTTCATTCATTTAAAATTTAAATTATCGATATTTGTTTTTTCTATTTTTTGTTGAGTCTAATATTGCATCGCAAAAACATTTAATGGGCTTGTGCATCAGATCAAACATAATCACTAACTTAAAACTACAAGAAAATATTGCAAATCCGAAAAATAAAACTTGTACAAAGCTAGGCTTGCCTTGCCTTGGCACAAAGGCTATAATAGAAGGCACATAAATGAACAACCAAAAGATCAGGGGGTGTTTGAACAATTTGACGTGGCATTGATTTTTGGATTCCGTCGAGATATTCGGATACCCCTAGCCTACCTACTCCCTAGCGAAGAAGAGCGCAGAAGAGAATGCTTAATATATGAATTCCCACGAGAGTTGTAAAGCTAACGACGAGCGAACCAACGAACCTTCCCCACAGTTATTTCGGAAAATTTCATGTCCATCTTGCCCTCCCAGAATCTAGCTTCAACGTCGTCTTCTTCGTCTCAGGTCGCCTCTCAACACCATAGTTCAGATCATGGATTCGTCTTCCTCCAATCCCAACCAGAACTCTCTCTTTCCCACCAAACTCAGACCTTTGGATCTCTTCGAATCTCCGTCTCCGTCACGACGTCCGACAATATCTCAGGTAGGATTTCTATTCTGTATGTTCCCTAAGATTTGCAAATAGTGAGTCGGTTTGTTTAGTGAAACGAGAAACCCTAGATTTTTTGACGGAATTATTTGTAATTTGTTGGGAGCAGCTTATTTGGAACTTTTATTTCTTTAGTTTTCTTGTCCGTTAGGCGACTAAATCTGCGATTGCAGAGTGAAATTAGTGGTTGAGATTCGCAACTGTAAGATGGCTTTGGTTGGTAAATGAAGAACTCTAGTTGAAGCTTGAAAGCTCTTTTTGTATTTATTTCCTTTTTGATTTGATCGTTATGAGTTTGTGTGAGGGGATATGATCTGCATATTGGTGCTTGAAATACTTAGTTATTGTATCGTGATTCCTTCCAGGAACAATGGCTCAGGCTACAGATGATTCTGTTGGATCTTCCAAAGAGGTATTATTTGCTGACCTCTTCCTATGTCAATGAATGCAGTTTTTCTTTTTTCTTTTCACAATACCCATTATTGATTGAATTGGACAAGTTGCTGTTGGACTGTGACATTTTTGTTCTTTGTAGACTAAGTATGATGCCTTTTTTCATAACTCTAGGTGAATGAATCAGGGAGACAAAATGGCAAGGAAAGTTTGACTCACCCAAACGATGGTACAAATTCTCTCTGTGAGGATGTTGGTCATGCTGGGGCTGCATCTGCTCAACACAGAAGGAAATCGGGCAGGACCATTGCTCTTCCACGTGGTCAACTGACTGCTGGGTCTACCAGTTATAAAGGGAGCACTGCACCTGTTGCAGGAAGAAAAAACCAGATGGTTAATGGTAACCACTTACTGAACTTTAATTATGATCCTATTTCTCGTCCACAGCCAAGGGCACCTCCTCCAAGAAGACAGCTGAAGAGAAAGCCTTACAACAAAGATTTGTTCCTTCAAGCAAATTACAAATTTGTTGTTTTAGATTCAGGAGACTATGCTCCTGAGTTGATGGATCCGGATAAAATGTTACAGTGGGAGGATATCATATGTGTGAAGTATTCCACTCCATTTGCTGTACAATGTCCAATATGTCTAGAATCTCCGCTGTGTCCCCAGATTACATCTTGTGGTCATATCTTTTGTTTCCCATGCATTCTGCGNAGGTATTCCACTCCATTTGCTGTACAATGTCCAATATGTCTAGAATCTCCACTGTGTCCCCAGATTACATCTTGTGGTCATATCTTTTGTTTCCCATGCATTCTGCGGTACTTTCTGATGGATAAAGATAATCATAAAGACGAATGCTGGAAGAAGTGCCCTTTATGTTTCATGATGATATCATCAAAGGATTTGTACACCATTTACGTCGAGAATGTTAGGCAGCACTGTGTGGGTGATCCTGTAGAGTTTATGCTTCTAACCCGTCAAAAAGATTCATTCACATTGTCTCTGAAAAATAACCAAAGGATAGATGCAAATGAGGAAGTCCATGATTCGTTTTCCAAGTTCACTTTTACATCAGATGTGGACTTGTCAGTTAGGGAAGCAATGTCAGATCTTGATAGTTGGTTAGCCAGAGCAGATTCAGGGCTTGTTGATGACCTGGAGAAACTGCCATATATCTGTGTTGCGATGGAGCACCTGGAACAGAGGAAGAAGTATTGGAATGAGCACCAGATTGCTAGCGGCAATAAGGCTAGTAAATATAGTGATTGTCATACAAGTTCTTATGGATCTCCACCAACTGCAAATGCTATTAATACTGATCATGGAGCATGTGAGTTTGTATGGGGAAGTCTATCTACTAGTGCTGATGATAAATCAAAGTGGTTGGAAAGCCCAGCTCCAGCTAAGAGAGATGGAGAGCCTTCTTTGGATCTAACTGCTGATGTGGTTGAATCCTTGGAAGACCAAGGTGGATCTATATCGGCTTCATATTCTGGTATGAAGAGTATGAAGAGACACTCTAATGGCTCTTGGCATAGGAAGGACAAAGACTCATACGACTTCTACCAGGTGATTTGCTACAAGTTATCTATATTTTTTCATGATTTAGGTAAGACAGAGACGGAATCTTACACATCCAGGAACTATCATTCAACTGTGGCATTCAAAAAATTAACATTCTATTTAAATTAAAAGTTAGGCTCTATTTTTTTTTGATGATACATGCAAATTTTGAACATACTTTACCTAACATCATATTGCAGTCCCAAGAGCCAAGAAAACCAACAAGCCCAAGTCCAAGCACGACCTTCAGACTGACTTAGGCTCTATTGCTATGTATATGGAATGCACTAATATTTTTGAATGATAGTATTTTTGACTGACAAATTAGATGCATATGTATGCTAGTCTTTATAAATATGTGTGCTTGATGCATGAAGGTATGGTTAGTTGTTGGTCATAAGTAAAATCGAAACAATTCAGTCATGAATCAGAAAGTATTTAATTTATTAGTCTGGGCAAACAAGAGGATTTGACAACTGCTGAGCTCTGTGAAAATTGTCAAATTAAGGAGTCTCGCTGTATGTGGCTTTATCAACATTTTGTCGAAGGCAGAAATATCGCTGGATAAGGAGTATCAGTGGCTGGCATCCATTATGACATGTTAACTATCATATTTTATTGTGTTGCCCTAAGAAGTACAGTTGAAAGTATGGATGCGATAAACTGGACACGGACATGCCAACGTGACAAATATAAAAAAAATTAGGATGCTGATAGTTAATACCATAGACCAATTATCACTTCATGAGTTAATAGTATTTATCTTCTTTAACATGAAATCTTTAATTGCAATTGTGAACAACTGACCATATGGTATATAGATAGATGCCAATGAGCATCCACAATTGAAATGATCCTTTCTTCCGGCATAGCCCTCTGCCCCTTTTGGTAAAATCTTTATGTATCTTCCTTTTGCTTTAGATGGAGAAAAAACAAAGTAACATGTTTTTTATGCACCTCTGTTGTTTGTGTGCTACAAGATTGTGACACCTGACTTCTAAATTTTGTTAATCAAATATCATCGTGTGTCCAAGAAGGGTTGAACACATGGCCAAGATTAAGGTTGTGTTATCTTAGTGTGGACACAGCCAAAAGAGTGTTGGAGATGTCCAAGAGTGCCTAAAATGTTTTGGTGTCTGACAAGTGCTTGACATGGAGACAGTGCGTTGCTACTTTGGTAGTGCATAATGGCATACTTCCCACTATTGTCAATGCTCTGCTTGTTTGCCTATTTCAGGCAGTTGATGGTCAGCACCTCATCCTTCATCCATTAAATGTGAAGTGTCTTCTGCAGCACTATGGGAGCTATGACAGGCTTCCATGCAGGTTTGGGAAAAACTCTTTATATATTATGTAATATATCTGTTATGTTTTGACCAGATAGAAGAAAGGGACCTGCTTGCATGCATATACTTGTCCTGTGCAACTGTGCATCGTAGAATCCTATGATTTATTGTGGTTTTTTTGGTACTACTACTTCGGCCAATCCCAATCTCAAATAAAACAAAGCTCTCTTCCTCATTTCTTGGTTGTGGAGCTTTAGTTCGGGTTGGCTGGTTTTCATGGCATGAAGAACCCGGATTCAACAAAAGAAGAAAAAGCATAGCTGTGAGGCTTAACAGATATAGAAAATGGGATCCCACTGATCGCCGTCCAAACAAAACTATTTGCCTGTCCTCTTTCTTACTAGGACTCCTAATTAGCATCTAAAAGATCAATTCAATTTGAGGAAGGTTTACACAAACCAAATCAATGGAAAAAAAAAATTTCAACAGGACTGAAAGAACCAAGTTCATTCCACAGAGGGGGATTGTTGATTCCCAATATCATGCGCCTTCGGTCTGACATTAATGAGGGAGTAGTATTATCGTGATTTTTAGGGTGTTAAAAGTGGTATTGTTTTTTTATGCAACTCACCGGGTAATCTGGTATGCTTGTGTATGGTTTGGAGCAAGGGATCATATGCTACCTTGCCCTTTTTGGCATTCGTTTCACCATGTTGCTCTGAGTTTTGAATGTCATGATAAACTGACATTTGTCCAAGATAAGAAGGTGCATTGTTGGTTGTGAATTTATTTCTGAAAGTACTCTTCTTGACTGATCGTTAACCGGAGAGAATATTCTGCTGTGATCTTTTATACTAGCCTGCAGTTCTTTATTAGGACTTATGGACTTGCAGAATCAAGGGAAAGATTTTACAGTTGGAGACGGTGACACAATCAGAGGCCATNGAGGTTTGTACGCGTATAACACTTAAACTCCTACTGTCAATATCGGTTATAATATTATATCCAAACCCGTTAAAGTTTGTAGACATGTAATATTTAGATCCCTCAAATTTAAAATATTATATTTAAGCCAAAAATACACCAAGTAAAGATAGAATATTAAATATATTAAATTTTACAACCAAATTCAGTTATATTATGATATTTATTGAAATAAGATTAAAAATAAAAATTTAATTTTTTCTTAAAAAATCATAATTAGTATATAATTATATTATCTATTAGAATTTAATTTGATCGTTTAAATTACCAAATTATTCCAATTAAAGCTAGCATATATTGTGTCAATTATAGTTTGACCACTTATTTATTTTTTAATTTTATTCCAATAGATAGTATAATTATATATTAATTATGATTTTTTAAGAAAAAATTAGATTTTTATTTTTGATTTTATTTCAATAAATAACATAATATAACACGAATTTTTTTTGTAAAATTTATGTTTTATTATGAATGACTTAAACCCCTTCTTTTGATTTTTTAAGAAAAAATTAGTTTTTTATTTTTGATTTTATTTCAATAAATGATGCAATAGAACATGAATTTTAGTTGTAAAATTTAAAATATTTAATATTCTATCTTTAGTTGAAGTATTTTTTGTCTAAGTATAATATTTAAACTTGAGAGGTCTAAATATTATATATTTATAAATTTTAAGGGGTCTGAGGATAATTTATTAACTGGTCTAAGTGTTATGCATACAAACATTAGGGAAGTTGTATGTAATATTTTAAATGTCAAATAATCTAAGTGATAAATTTTAGAGGTTTGAGTGTAATTCTTATTTTTTTTTTATTATACGACGGACCCAAATAGTTAATCATTGTACCAATAAACTATTGATCCAGTCTTTCGTCCGGTTCGATATCCAGTCCAGTTTTGGTAATATATATGGCTTACCAAATTTGAAACGCATGGCTTAATTTGTACAGTTAATATAATTACGAGGCTTAATTGAACAAACTGGTATTGTTACGGGTGATCTCGGTAATTTACTCGTAAATAAAACCTTACAACCAACACAACACGCACACCACGCGCGATCTCTGATTTTCAACTCGGCAGGATCTCTGATTACCAAGCAACTCATTGTCACCGTCTCTCTCTCTCTCTCTCTCTCTCTCTGGGCAGACGATGATGACGAGACTTTTAAAGAACTCATCGACAAGCAACACAACCAGGAGGCCTGCCCTGCTTCATCTTGTTTGCGCTGCCGCAATTTTCTCTCTCGTCGTTTTTGCCATCCAGTCATCTTTCTTCACCGGTCAGTTTCCCACTTCTTTACTTGTTAAAATCTCAAACCCTAATTTTATGAAATTATAGAGATTGAATTCTCAGTCATAGCTACCTCGAATTACATGTTTCCATGCGTTTCATTGCAGGTAGCCAGAACCTTGTTACTGTCAACAGAGAGGAAGTTGAGATCTTATCTCAATTCCAGTCCAGTGTTCAGCAATGCGTAGTAAGCATTCTCATTTCTTCTTTTGCCTATCTACATGTATAAGTATACTTAATTTCCAATTCTTAATTTCATGGTTCAGATGGAGTTGCTTAGTTAAGTTTTCCATATGAACCATGTCTCGGTTGCTCTTAGATCTGAACCGACTTTTCAATGTTTGAGTTTTTGTTAGTTTGTTGTGTGCGTATATTTGTTAAACCCACTAAAAAGGGGAATGTGCATTTACACTTCATTCTAGTTGAAATATAGGGAAACTGCATTATTTTCACTGTACAAATTCTGTCACCTATGGTAGGGAGACTACACATGCACTTCATATGTTTGTGTGTTCTGAAAGCACACATTATGTATATACCTGAATGAACGCTACATGGACTATTGTGTTAGAGGCAAAATCAATTGTGCACTTTTGTGATGTATTCTCTATTATGAATCATTTTATTCTTCACTTCTTTGACCTTTTACAAGCCTTGGAATTTGCTCGTAGGCGAACAGAGGGCTTGGACTTACTGCAAAAATTATTGACCACTGTAATTTGATTCTCAAGTTTCCAGAGGGCACTAACAGCACTTGGGTCTGGCTCTTCTTTGAATTCTCAATTCTTTCTATCTCCTTTTTTTGATGCACTTCTGCATTAACCTAATTTTTTTCTGTCTGTACTTTCAGTATAATGAACAGTTTAAAATCTATGAAAAGTTGGAGTACAGTTATGATGTTTGTGAGGCAATTTTACTCTGGGAACAGGTTAGTTTGCGGTGTTATCCTTCAAAGAAGTTGTCTCTGAACTTCCAGATGTAAACTGAGATTGTTTGAAATGCAGTATCGTAACATGACTACAGTATTGACAAGAGAATATCTAGATACTCGCCCAGATGGATGGTTAGACTATGCTGCAAAAAGGATTGCACAATTGTAGGCTCCTGCCATCCTTTTTTTTTTAAAGTTTCTTCGTATTAAAATTTTCAGTTTTTTAATTGATTTTATATAGTTTAGTGAATTAACAATAGGGATTACTAAGCAATTATTTTTTTTCTGTTACTTCTTTTTATGGTTGCAGAGGTGCAGATAAATGCTACAATCGGTCTCTCTGTGAGGAGAACCTTAACTTAATTTTGCCAGCAAAGCCACCCTTCCACCCCCGCCAGTTTCAGACATGTGCTGTTGTCGGGAATTCTGGAGATCTCTTAAAGACAGAGTTCGGAAAAGAAATTGATAGTCACGATGCAGTTATACGAGACAATGAGGCCCCAGTTACTGAGGTGAATTTGTGCTTTTGTTCTTTGTTTTCACATTGGAAACGACTGTGAAGATCACTTGTCTTTGAAATCATCATTTTTGCTGCTTTCATTCTGGTATGGTCTTTCTCTACACATATCTTGTTTAACTTGGAGATACTACTCCAGTAGTTTACTAATGCAGTATCTAAGATACCCCGAGTTTCAATGACCATCTTGCATCCAAGATGTGATTCAAGTCCCAAATGAATCATTGGAGTCGTATCCTACTTGGCTTTTTCTGTTCCAGCTTTGTGTAAATCACAAGTCTCGCTAGACTTATGGTGAACTTAGGCATGTCTCGATTCACTCAGCTAAGTCATCGTGATATAGATTGAAGAAGGAATTTGGAGATGATAAGAGAAGAAGATGATGAGAAGAGAAAGAAGAAGATTAGGGCAAGAAGGATACTCTCAATAATTCAATAATCAAAGTCTACCAAAAATAATTGCATCAGCCCCTTTTTGTAGGGATACCAAAACCGTAAATAAAGATTCCTGATCTAACTGTAATAGTAAAAGATAACTACTAACTATTGTTCACATAAATCTTGAAATAAATCTACAATATTTATCCAACTCTTAACATGATTCCCATCATATCGTCATTGAATTGCAATGTACTGCCCAATAGTGTTCTTCGACGTTGTGACTGACATGTCTTGGTGCCCTCATATCGATGGCTGATATCATTGCCTTGCACCATTATGTTCTTCTCCTCCTTTTTCCTATGGTCATGTGGATTTCAGATTATGGCATTTTTTCTGTTTTGTTGCTTGGACGTTGGTTGGTGTGTAAGATATGGAACAATTAATCTACCTGGTCCTTACGGATACTGTGCAGAAATATGCAAAGTATGTTGGTCTGAAGAGGGATTTCCGCCTAGTCGTAAGAGGTGCTGCACGTAACATGGTTAAAATTCTTAGTGGATCAGGTAAATTCATGTTATTATCCATTTTACTGTTCAAACACTTCCTGTGTGCTGTATTCCATTTCTTCTTTGTCCAACCCCCCCCCCCCCCC